GGGGGGGGGGGGGGGGGGGGGGGGGGGGGGGGGGGGGGGGGGGGGGGGGGGGGGGGGGGGGGGGGGGGGGGGGGGGGGGGGGGGGGGGGGGGGGGGAGGCACCGACTTGGAAGCATAACTACGGGAAAGCCGATCATTGTCTACGTTGATAGCGGAGCGATCTCCTTGCCTGACTGGCTCCCTCAAGGGATCAACCACCTTAACGGAACTCTTGCACGTCACTATTGTAGCAAAGACGAACCACCGTTGAACAGAGTTTGCGTTGGAGCTCCTCCGGAGCCTTGGTACGGCGGTACCAAGGCTCCCGGAGAAGCTGCGACACAAGTCCTCGCCAAACGACGGTTTAATTTCATTTCGTCGTTGCTACAATAACGACGAGCACCGCCGCAGAGTTGATTAGGGTGGATTATCCCTCGTGGAAGTCAGGTAAGTTCGTAAGTTCCCTCGATACCGCGGTGAAAATAATTGGCTCCCGAAATTCGTCCCGTAGAGAGAACAAAATTATAGCTCGCGATGTCGACCGATACTTTGGGGAAAGGGCAGACCACCGGCAACTAATCACGGTGATCCATTTACTGCTCTAGCACCACGCCGACAAAAAAGTGTACCACGCGAACGATTACTCTTGACCCACTGTTGCTGCTGCAAGGGAACCAGACTCTCGAACTCCGCGCAATGTTGTTTTCCTCCGAGGAGGGGTCCAGGCCCAAAGGGAACGGCAGCGTCAACGTGGATGCCTGAATCCGAAGACAGCAGCTATCTTGTCGCCGCTTCAAAAAACGAACGGCCAAACACAGCAGTGAACTCGTCTAAAAAGCGCATCGGCACGCCCACCGACCGAGCCAAAACCTGAACACCGAGTCTAATAATCGCCTACCAAACCAAGAGATTGTCTACCGTGTGCATGTGTGCCATCACCCGCACAAAGCGCAACCATCATCACACGGACACACGCACCTTCTGCCCCGCGGCGGGTGCCGCAGCCGGAGCCGGGGCGGCGGCGGCGGGGGGTGCCGGCGGAGCAGCGGCGGGCGACGGCTGAGGCGCCGGGGGCGGCTTCGGGGCAGCTTCCTCGCTCGGCTCTTTGGGTGGTTTTGCCGCCTTATCCGCTTTTTTTCGGTGAAGGTGCCGGGTTGAGAATGTCCAAGGCACGGCGACAGGGGATTCATCGGTTTGTGTGTGTTTCTTTGACATAGCAACGACCAGGCTAAGCAGTGAAAATACGTGCGGCTGAGAATGGGAATGCTTCCAAAGGCCATGATCTGGGGCCCCGTGGGGGGGGCTTCATGTGTGTGTGTTTTCTTTGGTTTTCGCAACGACCCCGCTAACCGGCTGCTGATCAATGACGAGACGTCTTTGTAGTTTTAAAAGCGGGATTAAATGATGTGGACATGCTTTCTGGCTGTGAAGGCTTTTACCGACAGGGGGGGGGTTAGAACGACAGTGTGTGTGTGTGTGTTTTGTTCTTAGCATCGACTGAGCTAACCGGACTGACCAGTGAAAATACGCCACTATTGTCGCGGCGTCCCGAAACGGCTACACCGGGATGCCACAAACGCCGCGCAGAAAAACTCGAAACCTTCAAATTGTACGCGAAAATACTACCATCATAAAGCAGTCCTCACCGGGTGCGGCCGCCGCTGCCCCTCCCCCTCCCCCCCCTCCGGACGTATCGAGCTTCATCAAAGGTGCGCCGACCTCCACGATGTCGCCGTCGGCCGCCATCTGCTCTACGAGTGTTCCCGCACTCGGCGCACGGACATCGATGCTTACCTGAGAAAACCACATCAGACGCAGCCGAGTTGGGACAGTGCTATACGGTACGGTACGGGGATACGGATCGCATAGTTTGACTTGCCCTGTTCAACGCAGGTGAAATCGCTTGGCACAGATAGAATATTCAAGCTTTATCGTCCTCTGAAAAGGGCCGGGTGCCCGAAAGAAGGCCGGTGTTTTCCCTCGGACCGTATAGCAGCGGCCTTAAACAAGGACCTCTACTGAACACCTTACACCTTACCTTATCCGTCTCCAGGACCACGACCACCTCGTCTAACTCCACCGAATCACCCGGCTGCTTGGCCCACTCGACGATGGTTCCCTCGCTGATGGAGTCTCCCATGCTCGGCACGGGAATGACCTCCTCACCCCCTGAAGCAAGCACACGAAACGTCAATTAGACCAGGCGGGTCGGCGTCAAGCGAGAAGCGGGACTGGACGAAGGCCGCCCATGCTGAAACAATGTGACACCTCCGCAAGAGCTGGACTGAGAAGTCGGCATGAAACGCCTTTGTTTGACCGCCTTGTCCCTGCAGCGCCAACAAACGTCCACAACTATGTACCTGTGAGAGTTGCACGGCTTGCAGTACGTACCCGAGGATAGATGACGAACGAAGTGGGTGAGAGACCCGCCGATCGCCCCATGTCTTGCCCATACCCCCGTCGTCGGTGCTACCCTTGCAGTAGCAGATACGGCGCCCCCTCTGCCACAAAAAATACAAGAGAAAAACGTGCGAGGACGTCATTCGCTGTGGTACTAGAAGAGAGGGAGCACTAACTGCGAAATAGTACCGCAACTTCATCTCTCATGGCACTTTTGCGCGATTCGGACAACAGACGGGGTTAATATGCACAGGTTCCGCATGACCATCTAGATTTACCCTGAACAGAACACGCCACCCACCTAGAAGTGACCGGGCCCAGTGGGATGGCCTATTTGAGGAAAAGGTCAATCATCGAAGGAAAGAAAACAAGACGAAAAAGCGACGCACAACAACAACGACGAGAAATCAACAATATTTGTAGTAATTAACCTCGCCGCACCTGCTTAGAACGCTCAATCGCACCGTCGCGACTGCAACAGCCGGGGCGGCTTGCCGGCTAGAAGCACGCGCGCCATGACGGACCTGTTCGTCAGCGCGTATGCATGCAGCAGAAGCGCGGCGGAATTCAGCACCGATAACGCCCAAGTCCCCAAGGGCGACCACGCTAATGCTTGACTGCAGAGTTGCATCGGTAAGCAGCAGATATACTATATAAGGTATGGTATACATACAAGTGTAAGATTTATTAGGTGTGACAAGAATCGGGATCGGATGACAACGACAACGTTCTTCGCGCTGCGGTGCCCAAGCCCTCGGACCGACCTCCCCTGCTTTATGGACGATGAACTCGTTTTGCAGAGTTGTCCGAAACCATGACATGTTGGTAACATCTCAATTCGAAGCATTCTTTGAAGTAAAAAGCGAAATGTCGCGGTGCTAAGTGTCGAAGAATGACGGAGCTGACGAGCTGTCGAACGCTGAAGCATGTGTGCTTTAGAAACCGTTCGAGGACGTGCTGGTCACCATTTACCCAGACAGCACCTGCGATTGTACCCCGTGAGTGACACTTCGCACCCTTGTAACATGTGCAGCATATCACTAGGCTTCAAGTCAGGGCTAGAAGACAATAAGCGCCGACTTGTAGCATGGTGAATGTGCTGTACATCCAACAGACATGGCATCAAACGTTTGGTGCACAACCTCACCTCGCCGGCGATACAACACGTAGTCTAGGTGTTTAAAAAACAATCACAACTGGCACACTCTTTAGCAGTACGCCCACTCCAATATATTTGATCTAAGAGTGCTGTAGTTTCTGGGCCCCATTTTCGATGTCTCATGTTCTACATACAAAAGCATGGTATATAGGGGGTGTGGTGTCTCCATCGATGTTGTATGGCACGTCTCCGCCAACCAACTAGCAATCAACTGTCGGTTCTGCGGCATGTTGCGAGTCTTCGATGACAAAACCGATCCACCCGTCATACATCGCTGCTCTGTATTGTTGTAATATTGCGAGCAATGCTCACAGAGACCCGCGGGAAACGATACGAGCCCAAGGCCAATCGACCTCACATAGAGCGCAGAACGGCAGAGCCATGGAAATCTGGCCCGACCAACCGGGTGTGTAGGTCGCTTCTCAGCCGTGCTTCCGGCTTTCGGCAACATGCCTCAACTTTCCGTTGCGGTTCGACGTCAAGGAGAGCCGCCGGCTTGGCTCGACCGCTTCACGATAAAGTTCTGCGTCCTACTCAATTTTCCTACATTGCCGGGCCCTGCAACCAGGCTCCAGAGTAACATTGCCCCCGAAGCCATGCGTACGCGCACTAAGCAAAGCTGCCAGCAGTGCTCCTACTAGACGACTGTGACGCGCCGCACAACCAAGGTGCCGCCGAACTTCAGCCAAACCGCGACCCATTGGCCAAACAGCCGATTCGGCGATTTGGTGGCCCAAGAAAATTATCAAATTTTCACTGCCGTACCGAGCGAGCTTCGGCATGCGTTGCGGCAAGTGCGGGCTTCATGCTCACGTCGGCAGTGCGCTGCTATTGCTTTCGCCCGCGCGCCACTCACCAGTGATGTTCCTAGTCTCAGCATCCTGGGTGCCTCGGCGCTGTGTCTGTCCGATAACTGGCCGCTCTCAGCCGACGGTCTGAACAGTTTACTTGCTCGGGAGAAGGGCTGGGCAAACGTCGAGAGAGCCACGAGACGGTCGTTGCAACGCAGTTTCTTTTACTCCCGCGGGAATATACCCGAGCAATGGCGAGTTGGGGCGCTGTGCGTACAAGCTCGTGTGTTTCTTTGAGTCGCTTGGCCATCGGGGAGGTCGGCGGGTCTTTCAAGAGGGGACTTCGCAGATATACACATGTACCGTTTTCCTCTCAGCCGTGTACCCCCCCCCCGCGACACATCACGCTGCGGCAGATTCCCTCTTGCGTGCTCTCACAAACAAGGGCACCGGTTACCCAAGCTCCGTGGTTGCGTGTTACAAACGGATCCCCAAGAGATCGAACACTAGGGTGTGATGGGAAAACGCTTCCACTTGCCTGTCCTGCTGCTGCTTACTGCTGCTGCTGCTGCTGCTGTCAGAGGTGCCTGCTGCAGTCATTGCAGCGCGACACCAGCAACACTCATCTCGCCGATCGACCGCACCAGACATCATCCTCTGGTAAAGGTAACAACCACAATACGCGGGGGGGCTCGAGGAGGCGCTGAGCTAGGCAATAGCAGGCGTGCACGCAGCATGACGAAGCCTCCCTCGACCGGGTTGGGTCGGCTTCGAGACGCCTTGTTTCCGATCTACGGCGGGGCGGAGACGGGCAAGTTCTTGGCGTTGGGGGGCATCCAGTTCTTCATCATCTTCGTCTTGACGCTCACAAGGGACCTCAAGGATACGCTCATCATCACGTCGTGCGGGGCGGAGGCCATCTCTTTCCTGAAGGTGTAACATGCGTGTGTACCGTATATGTGTTGGGCATGGGAGATATTGATCGTCTCGCCCCTGTGTTTATTCTGTTCCTGTTCCTGACGAACGGTATGCAAGACAACAGATCATGTGTCGATTTGCAGGCGGTACCGTCTTTTTGGCATTCTACTTCGGTAGTGCAAGGTGCAAGATCTGATCGACCTCGCAGGAGCCGTGGCTCCTGTTGTTCACAATGTCATGTGTGTGGAAGCACTTCCGCGTTGACAAGATGAACGAAGCGCTGTTTTTGCTCGCAAACCATGCGCTCCCTCCCTCAGCGCGTGTTTGAGGAAAATCTTCTTTTTTTGTCGGAACGAAGATGATTTTGTTCTGCCGGCACCCCGCACCACGCAGCAGCAGTCGCGGGGGTTACAGCGTCACCGCACTGCTTGTGTAAGTCACAAAACAGCTTAATCAATTTATGCATCTATGGATGCTGTGAGGTGTTGCGCACAGTGCTGTGGGTATCAGCGTCGAACACGTTGGACGGCTGCTGATCAGGATTTAAGACGTTTTTGTTGCTCCGAAGGATAAAAAAAGAAGGGAAATGGACAAAAGTGGGAACCGTAATAATCATCGGGGTCTTGGCGCACTGCTGTGCGGTCGCTTTGTTAAATGTTTCGAACTTCAGACTTTTTTCGCACAGGTGTGCGAAGACCCCGATATGTGCCAAGTTCGCGATACCTGGGTCCGGAAATGCAGTAAATATTTTGGTTCTAAGAAACAACGCCCACCCCTGTACCAAGACCCCGATATATATGTATATATTTATTTATTTTTTCTCCCATCATTGGACTCTGTCGTCTGCCCCTCTGGCCCCTATCCTCCACTTCTACTAGCTAGACGACCCAACCGGGGCACATAGGAGGGGGGGGCTGGACCCCCTCCTGCGGTTCCTGCCTGAGGTATCTTTATCGCGAGAAGGGTACAGCAATCCCTTCCCTCGCGACTTAAGAAGTCGATTGTGGTTTACTAACAACGATNTTCGCACAGGTGTGCGAAGACCCCGATATGTGCCAAGTTCGCGATACCTGGGTCCGGAAATGCAGTAAATATTTTGGTTCTAAGAAACAACGCCCACCCCTGTACCAAGACCCCGATATATATGTATATATTTATTTATTTTTTCTCCCATCATTGGACTCTGTCGTCTGCCCCTCTGGCCCCTATCCTCCACTTCTACTAGCTAGACGACCCAACCGGGGCACATAGGAGGGGGGGGCTGGACCCCCTCCTGCGGTTCCTGCCTGAGGTATCTTTATCGCGAGAAGGGTACAGCAATCCCTTCCCTCGCGACTTAAGAAGTCGATTGTGGTTTACTAACAACGATCTTTGCAACGCGTCGCTTTCATCCTAGACCAGGATTCATTTAGTGAGAAAAAACTCACTCTGCCGGGACTCGAACGCATGACCTGGCCCTTCGCAGGCTGCGAGGTTACCCGCTAGACCACCGGGGCGACCATATATGTGCGGTGCTGTTTAAATCCAAAGCGGCTGGTACGGCGACTTTCGAACGCACACCCCTGTGCCAAGACCCGATATGTGCGATCCTAACATTGAAAACCACAGGGGATAGCAGCACTTCGCGTGTATGGTATTGCTGCAACACGATCACAACACAACAAACAGACAAGCTAGTACAGTACTGGGCCCTCTATAGTGCAGGGGTGTGTTCAGAAATTTTACCTGCACTATTCAGAATAGGGCCTCAATAGTGCAGGTTCGGCACTATTGAGGTTTTGAATGTCCCTCAATGGTGGAGGTCCCGCACTGTTGAGGAGATGTTTGATTACATGGTGAGGCGCTCATGCTTTGCGGGGCTAACATGGATCGAATTACAGCAGTGCTGGGCCCTGTTTTAGCTTGGGTGTGAACAGACTGTCCCGCGCGTGTGGTTGCCCCCTTCGCACACACCGAGTTACTTTGCAAGTTGCACCGTAAGTTTCTTCCTGCCTCAGCACTCGTAGTGTACATAGCACACCCTGAACCATCGCACGATCTAACATTAACGCGCAGTGAACGAAGCTGAATCTCAGTCCTTCTCCCTGCCCTCTTTGCATGTTGCAAGATAAAAAAGTAGACAAGACCAAACAAACACAACAGGACGCGCGCTGCAAGCAAAGAAACAACCACTTGTACGCTGCAGCTGTATCCACCGCCCTAACTGCGTCGCGAAAAATTACAACATGCCTGCCCGGCGCACCCACTTCGATGTTGTACGAAAAATAAACGAGACACAAGCCAAGACAAGCCGACCGGAAGCGCACCAAAAAACAAAACGCCCTCACTACGTCGTGACAAACTCTCTCATGTCTGCCTGGGGCACCCGCTTAGCGGAATGCCCTGCTATCATCGCCATCTTCGCTTTCGTTAGGTAGAACACCGCGTGTCCGTTGCCACTCTCGTCTGCTGCCGCTTCCAGGACACCCAAGTGAGGCGCAAGTTCGCCATATGCCGGTGGGGCACGGCGCTCGAGCCCCGTGTTACCATCGCCACTGCCCTGTTGTTCGTCCTCCTCCTCCTCGTCGTCCTCCTCGCCGCCAGTAGACAGGCGCGCTCCAGCCAGCAGCGCCGTAATTTCGTCCACCGCGTCCTGTCGAAGAGCCTCTACCACCTCATCGTCGTCCTCGATGGTAGCCCACCCCTGAATCATGTTCGCCGTTTCCTCCCTGACCGGCTTTCCGGGTTTGATGTTGAGCTCTGCGAGCAGTTCGCAGATCTCCTCGTCTCGGATGGGGATCCCTGCTGCTGTGCGTTGTGCACGATCGTGCTCAACGTGTTTACAGTCTCCGTGAGAGCTTTCAAGTCAGGCTCGGCGACGTGGCGCTGGTTCTTTCCGTGTTCCTTGGTGAGCTCAGCCGCCATCTCGAAACGAAGCGTCTCGGCTTTGACAAAGCACCTGGTCCCCGGTAAATAGCGCAGAAAATGTGATGCATCCGTTTTGGGCGAACAGTTAGTCATAGCATACGAGAGAGGACCCTTTTTTGGAAAGACTCGTCCGCACGCTGGAATTCTCAGCCGAAATATAGAAAACCCATGTATGTATTCCTACAACCTTACACACACACGCAGCGTGCGGCCAAAGCCATGTGTTCTTGCGCGAGCTGAACATTTTCAACAGAGATGAAAGCACATGTGCTAACCTCACCTAGCAATGTCCTGGGCGGTGACGCTGGCCCATGCTTTGGTGAGAAGTTCAGCGGCGTCTCGTAGGTGTGGTTGGTACCCTTGCGCCAGCCCCATTGTCCCGGCCTTCATCTTGCGGGCTTTGGCCTCAGCACGAAGTGTGTCAGCCACCAACATGGTTGCGGTACCAGCTGATGGTGCTGGGGCGGGATCCTCTAAACACCCGAAGAAGATGAAGGGGGGGAGTAAGAAGGGTTCTGGTTCTCGTGCGTGGCCGGTCAACAACAAGAAGCTTGAAATGCTGAGGGCGATGGATGCCAAGGTCTCCTACCCGCAGATTGCAGACCGCTTCCGTTGCCTGCAGCTGCCGCCGCCTCGATCGCCTTCCGGTCAGACCTCACCGTCACAAGAAACCGAACCGATCACGAGAAGCGGTCTGCAATCTGCGCGTAGGAGACCTTGGCATCCATCGCCTTCAGCATTTCAAGCTTCTTGTTGTTGACCGGCCGCGCACGAGAACCAGAACCTTTCTTACTCCCCCCCTTCGTCTTCTTCGGGTGTTTAGAGGATCCCGCCCCAGCACCATCAGCTGGTGCCGCTTTGCGCTTGCCAGGCTTGGCGACGCACTTGCTGCAGATGCGGTTCATTTCGTTGTCCTCAAACATGCTGCCGCAATTGCCGTTGAGCCGGCCGCCACACCCTCCCTTGCAGACGTGGCCATGAGGGCTTGTGGCGTTGTGTCTTGCTGATGGCACAGTTCACCGTCCGCACAAGGCATGATGCGCCTCTGCGTAGAGCTCTTAGGGTCTGCAGCAGCACGTGTATCCGCGTTTTCTGTGTTGCGTCTGTCCGCTGTTCGGTGTGGGGGTGTGGGGGTGTGTCCAACCTGCACTATTGCGGGGCACCGCGGTGCCCAACCTGCACTATAGCGGGACCTCCCTCAATAGTGCAGGACCTGCACTATAGAGGGCGCTGTCTGTGTCCAGAGATTTTACCTGCACTATACCGGGCACCTGCACTATTCAACCTGCACTATAGAGGGCCCAGTACTGTAGCTGCACACACAGACGAGTCTCGGGAGATTGCCACCACGACAGTTCCGTGGCGGGGAAATACCGGCGGAAAATTGGGAAAATGCCCGGGACGGAGCTGCGGGCTCGACCACACGCAACGCGCGGTTAAGATGTCGGAGGGTGCACGCGCGTGACC